GGTTTCACTTCAGACAGCTCCGATGATTCTTGGGCTTTGAAAGCAGCATCAGTCTGTTCATCACCTGAACCTTCTTTCAAGAAGAGCAAAACCGAAGAGCCAAAGATGAAGTTTCATTCTCTTAACAGGCCATTTCTGGACATCGTTGGCAGCCCTTCTTGATTCTTAATATGCCCCTCCTTTCCCCTCCAAAGTTCTTGGGAATGATTATTGTTCATAATGCTGCACCATTTCTCACTTTTGTTGCTGCAAGTTGGGGAAACTCTTCTTCCATCGTTATCCAATTACCCACAATGCCCTTGGCATCAGAATGGGTAGAAGGAAGAAGAGCACTGAAGGAGGGGATTCCATGGGAATTTTCCCAAGAACAGAAGTGACCAGAAAAAATGGGTTATTGGAGAAGACAGAAAAAGTATGCAGTAGTCTGGCTTCTTCTCTTAAACTGTATACCATTTCTGTCATTCCCTATCCTACTTGATTTCAAATCAGACGACTTTTCTCCTTGTTTTGGACAAAACTCATATATTATTATCAAATAAAAGCACAGCATTTCTTGTTCACCAGTGTTGACTTCTTATCTGTTAATAATTTCTTGAATATCATCATGTTTCATTGCCTATTAGCTTCAATCAGTGGTTGAATCAGGCAAATGAGTATAGATTAAACTGGCCGATCCCGTCTGGATTGTGTTAGGAATCACGACTCTCTACATAGTATAATATTGTCAATTTTGAGTATAAGCTCTCGTGGTTTTGCTCTGTACTTATCGAAAAGACCTCGTACTAATAGAGATGTAATCTTTATTTATTAATCTATGATAATTTCATCGACTTTTCTATAGGTGTTCGTATTTTCTTTTCATAACGACAGTGACTCTGAACCTTTCGATCCAAATCCGGATGGAATGGTCTCTTTTGGAGGGTAAATTTGAATCCAAATTTATTGTGTGGGAAATGCTGCTTTTTGACTAGACATAGAAAAAAGTGAATGAGCTGTGCCATGATAATTCTCTTGGATTTCTCCTATGCTTTTTAGTTTTTGGCTCTATGTGAAATCCCTTATGACTTTGAGGGTATCTAAGTTTTAACTATGATTAATACTCGATTATTATCCGTTAATGTTGTGCTATCACGTGATCGAACACACTTTTCCTTACGATTTACGTTCTTTTTCACATGTCGACCTATTTGATAAAAACACTTTTAAAGAATCAGTGTCTCAAACATGAACTAGACTTTTTTACTGTTCGTCACGAAGATGAAACAGGATTTTGTTCATCGTTATTAGAAAAAATCGATCGTAGAAGATTCTTTACTTGTGACTATCTTCTCTTTTTTTCCTCTTTCTTTCTCTTTTCTTTTCTTTTAACATCTTTTCTTCTCTATCTCGATTAGCTTTAAATATTGGATTTGTGCTCATAGATATCAACGTCAAATAGTTGATATCTTTTGATGAATTTTTGAATAAGATGTTAGTGCTCGAATTTACGTCGATTCTTATAAAACGAGAAGGATTCAATCCTAACCCAAATGAACTAATTAGATAAATTCGATAAAACAAATAAAAAATTGAATCATCGACTTTTGAAATGGTAATTTGTATCTTATCTACTGAACTATGCTCAAATTGATTAAAAATTTATCTTTATTTTCTCATTTTTTTTACTCGTGTTTTTGTACGTCCCCAAGATATGTTTTCCGATACCGCTATACAATTACAACCCGTTTTTGCTTTTGGACACAAATACCCTATTGCATTGCAATTTGCAACATCTTTTTTTACATTTTCTTTGTTCATAAATACACGTTTTAGGGCTTTTCTTGGCCAACAGCGGTAAAGTTTTTAATGCTCAAACAAGAAAATATATATATATATATATGGTTATCCTCATCCAAATTTGAACGAGCGATGAACTAAACTACTAAAAATCGATATTAAATTAACATAATCTTAACACGTTGTTATACGATTTTTAACCACGGTTAAAATGATTGAAATTAATGACAGAAAAATACGAGAATTTAAATATCTACAAATTACTATCGATATTAAAATTAATAATTTAGAAATAAAATATTCCCACATTCTTTATTAATGATCAATAATTTGAGAAGAAGAAGGAGAAGAATATTTAATTTAATAAACACAAAGAATGGAGAAGACAAAAAAATAAAAATAATAATAATAATAAATAAAATAGCATTCCAAATGGTCCCTTTTTTGTATGGGAATTTTCACTCCCTATGCATGACTCAATTTAATGATTATTATATTAAAAAAAAAACATTTTGTGTCTCTATCCAGTAAATGTCTGATGTTTTGCAACGGGGGGATCCAATGTGTTGTAGGATCAAATTTTTGTGTGTATTTGTCCCTTTCAATTATATATGTTTTTAATTTATTTATATCAATATTTCCGTTTTTTTTTAATAAAAAATAACATTACCGAGATTTGAATACGATACCTTATTCTCTAACACGTCAATAGATAACCGTTTGTATAGCACTTCTTGTATAGGATTCGGAATATAAATTCATCATCTGATGACTCCGACCTTTTCATGCATCTCTAGTGGCATGATGTGAGATCCCATATCGGCCAGAGAAGGGAACGGAACAGTCCTTACAAGGGTATGAAAGTTTTTCCCTAATAGATGCGTTTTAAAATTGTGAGACCGACGACGATACGTAACCGGTCAAATTAGACAATATCTACCAGCGGTGGGTTTGAGTCTGTTACATATGATTATGTTACTTGACTTGAACAACTGAAAAAACGGTCCCCACAAACCAATATGGTTCCTTCGAGCATGTTTTGTCCTTACTCACATATTTTTTAAAAAGAATCTCGGGGACACGAGGCATTATTATTATTATTATTATTATTATTATTATTATTATTATTATTGAGAAAATAGTTTTTTTGAATTAGTAACTCATGAATTTACCGCAACCGATTGAAAGGAACAAAACACAATAAATGAACCAAAAGTAAGTCTGTCGATATAAAGTTGATCTCATCTCCGAAACCCATCTCTTTTGATTTAAATGATATTCATGTTCGTACGTATGAATGCGACGCTGATTTTTTTTCTTTTTAATAAAATTTATGCGGTTAGAATCAATACATTTTAAATACAGACATGACAATTCAATTTTTTTTTTCTTTACGAATTCAATTATATAAACCGTTCGACGTATCGATCGATGACATGTTTAAATCAAACGGAAAATTATTTTTAAAAAATAAAAATGAAAATGAATAAATGGGGTGACCTAGAAATGGTGTCCCACATCCAATATGTTAAATGAGAAATGGACAAAGAGCATTAACTCACTACACATAATGAAGGGTAAAAAACAGTGCAAATTTTGGTGGTCCTTTTGGCATAGACAGGTTGGAATTTACCCTAAAGTAAAAAGAAAATGGTAAAAAAAAAAGGGAATTACTGTAATTTCTTTATTGTAGATTTGGTTTGAAAAGGGTATGGCCTAAATTTGTGAAAAATAGGGGTGAAATTGTGCAGCCATGGCCATGTCTGCCCTCTCAGACAAAGATTTTGGGTATCTTTGACACCCTACATTCAACCCACCCTTTAAATTTAAGGTCAATTCCGACCACAAAAACCTCATCGCTTATTTTTCTATCTACAATATCCCTTATCTTTCGTTTTGAGTATTACTGTTCACAGTACTCTCCAAGATCACGGGTTTATAAGTAAGGAACACTATCCCTGTTAAGATGGGCACTTTGGAGCAACTAAAAGTAACGTCGTGAGAGCTTATGCTCAAAGTGGATGATATCTTAATATTGTGGTGGTCTGTGGTTTCTAACGTGATATTACAGTCATGTTAATAGAATTCTCAAGTGTCGAATGAAGAAGTTGTGAGTCTCGAAGGTATAATCAAGGTTATTTAAGTGTCGAACAAATGATGTAATTTGTTGTTCAATGGCTCTTAAGAGAACGAAGTCTCAGGGGAGACTCTACGGTGTACTTTGGAACACTTTGTGGAAGTTTATGGTTTCTAACAAAAGACTCGTTTGTTGGTCGGGACATTTAAACTTTGATGTCATCGGACTAATGTAACAATTGGGTCTTTTAAAAGACGTTTGAGATACCGATATCGATTTGAAATCCTTTTGAATTAGGTAATGGTCCAATAGGCCCAAAAATGAAATCTACCCTTTGTTTAGGCCCATTTGCAAACCATATTTGTACATGGATGGTAGCCAAAGTATTAGCTGATGTTTGATGGTAATTATAAACATTCATAGCGTTAATAAACATCCTTACCTTTCCAAGTAAAGTGGAAAACAAAAGGAAATGGAATTGTTTTGTCGTCTCGATAGCGGGATACGATAGAACGTGCGTCTAAAATTTATATGAAGAGACTGCTACAATGTGACTGACAGTTTTGTATTGTTAAATATATGAATTACTTTAAAATTTTGCACTGAATTGTTATCTGAGGCACGAATTTGTGTCATTCTGCCTAATGTGCAAGATCCCTGTAAATAGTAATGGAAGAACAATACATGTAAAGTAACAATATATAGATCTATATATTGTTCAAGTTAGACCAAGATTTGTATTAGTATAGCAAGAATAAGAATTAGGTAGCATATCTCGTGCTTGAGTCTTCTATTTCTATGAGATTGATCTGGAGTTCCCGAGTTGATCCCAACTTAACCGACCATGAGTTTACTAGGGGTTGAACTTATGGGCATGCCTTTTGGCTCCTAGGGGCCTAGTTGGTCCGAGACTTTGTTCCACCTAAGCCCATCTCATATGTTAGTGCTAATTTCTTTACATTTTCTTTACGGTCTCCTCATATAGACAAATTTCGATTTTTCTTATGAGTTTGAATCCTCCCGAAACATTTTTTTAATCAAACCATACAGCAAATTAAGGATATAATGGTTAATCTTTTGTTCATTCATGAGTTTCTAAGCTCCAAAGAAAAATCCTAGTTTCGAATGCTACCCAACGCTCTCTCAAATGCAAGAATACCCCAAATTCGAGCAATTAAGAAACACCAACGTGTCTCACCCAAATTCGGAAATCGGCTTATCTCGCGGCCTCCATACTTCCGTAATAGAAAATCAATTCATCAAACCCGAAAGCTTGAGATGCGGCAGACACCCACTTGATCCACTACAACCCCTTTTGTTGTGCATACAAGATTTCGATGCATCGATGAGAGATAAACCCATCAAAGTTTTCCTTCTTCGTTTTCGAGGAGATAAAATTTGATCGGCGCCGGTGACGTAAATTCAAGCTGATTGACAATCAAACCTTACTGGGTAATCTTAGATTAAGCATTTTTCTGCAATCCCATCTCCCATTTCAGCTCTGTTCGAACTTGATCGAATGGCTACCCTCTCGATTGGGATTCATTTGCCCCCATCGCGGCATTGGAAGAGATTTTCATTTCATTCCCACTCTCCCGTTTCACTCCCATTTCACACGAGCTATGGCTCTTCTTTGAGTAGAATCAGAGCTCCAAGGTTGCTTGGTAAGAACCTTCTCGCGCGGGCTGAAGACGAGGATAAAAGCTCTTCTTCGTTTCAGCAGCAGCAAGCTCCACCCAACTTCAGCAAACAATTGGAGGTTTCCTTATTCAAACTTCTGCTAAATGTTCTAAACTATTTTTTGAATTAGCTTTGGTTGTTGTTCTGTTGGTTCATAATGATGATATTGTCAATTTAGCATGTCTAGTAGCGGTTTGAGCTAATCAGCGGCTCATTCATGTTCATCTCTGGTTATATAATGATAGGAACTCTCATCGAAGTCAGGAACATGTGATCCCTTATGCTCAGTTGATGAAATAAGCTCTCGGGATTTTGAAGATAGTTATCAGCCACAGGCTGATTTAGTGAAGGCTTTTGCAATACTTGCAGCTGCCCTTACTGGGATTGTGGCTATTAATCACTCCTGGGTTGCTGCTAATCAGGTTCATATGTTGGGATAGTGGCTATTAATCACTCAATGATAAGCTGTGACCTTCTATGTTTCATGAAACTTTTGGTACAGGATCTTGCTATGGTGTTGCTATTTAGTATAGGATATGCTGGAATCATTTTTGAAGAAGCTCTTGCTTTCAACAAGAGTGGAGTGGGATTGTTGATGGCGGTTGGCTTGTGGGTTGTTCGAAGTATTGGGGTATGATACTGTTTCTCTCAATTCTAGTTTTAGGACTATCTGGTTGAATGCTGAATTGTAGCTTCCTTATGTGCATATGGCTGTAGGTATGAATAGTATCTATATCTATTTCGTGTATACAATTAGATCAACAAATTTCTGGTAGGGAGATAATTTCGACATCTTAAAAGCCTCGAGTTAGTTGTATATACTCTTCATGTGCGTTAGAATTCCCTAATGAATAACTGTGAGATCCCACGTTGGTTTGAGAGGAGAATGAAACATTCCTTATAAGGGTGTGAAAATCTCTCCCTAGAAGACGTGTTTAAAAACCGTGAGGCTGACGATGATACGTAATGGGCCAAAGCAGACAATACCTGCTAGCAGTGAGCTTAGGTCATTACAAATGGTATCAAAGTCAGACACTGGACGGTGTGCCAACAAGGATGCTGGGTCTCCAAAGGAAGTGGATTGTGAGATCCTACATTGGTTGTAGAGGGGAATGAAACATTCCTTATAAGGGTATAATAAACCTCTCGCTAGAAGACGCGTTTTAAAACCGTGAGGCTTACGGCAATATGTAACAGGCCAAAACGGACAGTATTTGCTAACGGTGGGCTTAGGCCATTACAAATGGTATCAAAGCCAGACACTGGACGGTGTGCCAGCGAGGACACTTGATCTCCAAGGAGAGTGGATTGTGAGATCCCACATCGATTGGAGAGGGAACGAAACATTCTTTATAAGAGTGTGAAAACCTCTCCCTAGAAGATGCGTTTTGAAATCGTGAGGCTGACTGTGATATGTAACGGGCCAAAGTGGATGATATCTGCTAGTGGTGGGCTTAGGCTCTACAAATGGTATCAAAGCCAAACACCGAACGGTATGCCAGCGAGGACGCTGGGTCCCCAAGGGGAATGGATTGTGAGATCCTACATCGGTTGGAGAGGGGAATGAAGCATTTCTTATTAGGGTATGGAAACCTCTCCCTAGAAGACGTGTTTTAAAATTGCGAGGTTGACGGCGGTACGTAACAGGCCAAAGTGGACAATATCTTCCAGCGGTAGGCTTAGGCCACTACAAATGGTATTAAAGCCAGACACCGAACGATATGCCAACCCCCAAGGGGAGTGGATTGTGAGATCCCATATTGGTTGGAGAGAGGAACGAAACATTCCTTATAAGGGTTTGGAAATCTCTCCCTAGAAGACGCGTCTTAAAACCGTGAGACTGACAGTGATACGTAACGGGCTAAAGCTGACAATATTTGCTAGTGGTGGGCTTGGGATGTCACAATAACTGACATTCTTGTTGACTTTTTTTATTTTTCTTCATCCAAATTGAAACTGGAAGCAAAATGAAGAACATTGCAGCTGATAAATTGATATTTCACCTCTCAATAGTGCAGAAGTACACCAAAACTATTACTCTAAACAGCATTTTTTGAATGATAACTTCTGTTATAATTTCATACATAGGCTCCATCCACCGAAATTGCTGCTTCAGAGCTAACACATGCCACAGCAGAAGTCAGTGAAATTGTGTTCTTCTTGCTTGGGGCGATGACCATAGTCGAGATCGTCGACGCCCATCAAGGATTTAAGTTGGTTACAGACAGTATAACGACTCGAAAACCACGAACTCTTCTCTGGGTGGTCAGTGCTCTATTACCATTCCAATGATATTTGATGTTAATGTGTTTTACATACAGTTCTTCTTAAAACAGAGTAATGATATTTTCCCATTATTTGGTTGTTCTTATCACCTTCAACTGATCTAAAACTCTTATATTGCAGATTGGGATTGTAACCTTTTTTCTAAGTTCAATCCTTGACAACCTGACAACCACAATTATCATGGTTTCGTTATTGCGAAAACTCGTTCCTCCGTCAGAGTATCGCAAGTATGCACGCTTTGTATGCTCATGATTGGTTTATTATTGCATTCCTCTTCGATTCTCGTGGTTGTATTAGTCTAATGTATACTGTAACGTGCTGGTTCGTGTCGGTGTGGGGCACATGATAGGACCTACAAGGCTCCTATAAAGTATACCTGGAAGAAGAAATGTAGGAGTGAAAGTGACTAGTTAGGTGTCATGGAGGGTATCTTTTTGCATAGAAGGGGACGTGGGACGTTCGTGATAAAATAGTTTGAAAAGTAGAAACTAGTTGAGGGAGAGAGAGATCCCACATCGGTTGGAGACAAAACGAAACATTTTTTATAAGGGTGTGAATACTTCTCCCTAGTAGACATGTTTTAAAAACCTTGAAGGAAAGCCCAAAGAGGACAATATCTGCTAGCGGTGGGCTTGGGCTATTAGAAATGGTATCGGAGCCAAACACCGGGTGATGTGCCAGCGAGGAGGTTGAGCCCCGAAGGGGGTAGACTCGAGGCGGTGTGTCAGCAAGGATGCTGGACCCTGAAGAGGGGTGAATTGGGGGGTCCCACATTGATTGGAGAAACGAACAAGTGCCAGCAAGGACGTTGGGTCCTGGAGGAGGGTGGATTGTGAGATCTCACATCGGTTGGGGAAGAGAACGAAGCATTCTTTATAAGGGTGTGGAAACCTCTCCCTAGCAGACGCGTTTTAAAAACCTTGAGGGGAAGCCCGAAAGGAAAAGCCGAAAGAAAACAATATCTGCTAGCGGTGGGCTTGAGCTATTGCACTCAAATAGTCTGAAAACTGGAATTTCTTCTCTTCTCTACTGTTTACTAACCTCTTTTTCTTATCAATTGTCATATCAGCACAATGCTGTAGTTTGGTATTTATTGGTGAGCCTTTGTTTTCCAATCAATTCTATGTTCTTCATTTAAGAAATGGATCATTCAAACCAGGCTACTCGGAGCTGTAATCGTTATAGCAGCTAACGCGGGCGGTGCATGGACACCTATTGGAGATGTAACCACAACCATGCTATGGATACATGGTCAGATATCAACAATGCCAACACTCAAAGTATTATTCGATCTGAAATGCTATGATTTAACGCGTATTTATTTACAGATGGATCGTATTTCTGATACATGATGTACTTATTTTAATCTGAAATTCACTTTTGAGTTCCTTCAATTGCATCTGTGTTGTTCAGGACTTGTTTATACCTTCGGCTGTTTCACTTATAGTTCCGTTGTCTCTTCTGTCCCTAACAAGGTATAGGCTTTGTAACTAATTGTGCCATTCAATTATTCTTTTGATTGAACTGAGTTGCAAGTTTTTCTTTTGTGGGATTCAGTGAAGTCAATGGAAAGGGACAGGATTTTTCGAACGTTATGGCGTCCGAGCAGATGGCTCCTCGTGGAAAGCTCGTCTTCTCTGTCGGTGTCGGAGCGTTGGTCTCTGTTCCAGTGTTCAAGGCCCTCACAGGTTTGCCTCCCTACATGGGTATGCTGCTTGGACTTGGAATTCTGTGGATTCTCACTGATGCAATTCACTATGGTGAATCGGAACGACAAAAGTTGAAAGTTCCTCAAGCTTTATCTCGTATCGATACGCAAGGAGCGCTATTTTTCCTCGGTATCCTTTTGTCTGTCAGCAGGTGAGTGCACCATCTACCCTCCATTCCAGATTTCATACTATTTCTTTTGCCTGTGTGCAAATCAATGTTACGTATATATATAGTCGATCTTCTAACTCCTTTAGAACCTATCACTCAAATGGTTTACCAAGTCTAATTTGTCAATTTCAGCTTAGAGGCTGCAGGAATCTTACGCGAGTTAGCAAACTACCTCGACGCTCATATTCCGAACACTGAACTCATTGCGAGTGCAGTCGGTGTTATATCAGCTATTATAGACAATGTCCCATTAGTTGCAGCAACAATGGGAATGTATGATCTCTCTTCCTTCGCGCAAGATTCCGAGTTCTGGCAGCTGATAGCGTTTTGTGCTGGCACTGGTGGATCCATGCTTATAATTGGATCTGCAGCTGGAGTTGCATTCATGGGGATGGAGAAGGTGGACTTCTTTTGGTACTTGAGAAAGGTGACCAAGATCAAACTGTGTTCCTTCTCAGTCCATTCTCTTTTCCAAGTCGAATCGATTGTTCCATTTTCTCTTGTTCATTTTCTGCAGGTTAGCGGCTTCGCCTTTGCTGGATATGCTGCTGGAATTGCTGCCTATTTAGCTCTTCATAACCTCAACACATCGCTACCTACAACCATTGCTGAGGTGCCTTCCATTATGGGATTCATAAACTGAACATTTTTGACGACTTCAAATAAACAAGGATATGGCTGTTTTCCATTTATATCAGTGAGTTTTCAAGGGTGGGAACATTCTTAGATAGTGATGAACTTTCTTGCACGTTATAGTGTGTGTAACTCTTTTCTATAAGCCCCCAACCAAAGCTGTAGAAACTGCAAGAGCATCCAATCAAAAGTATATGATCATTCTTGAAACTTAGTGAAGCACATTTCTTCATTCGAAAAGTTGAGATAACAAACCAGCTTATTTAAATGGAAAACTATCAAAATTGAGGCCAAACATTTAGGAATGTGTCCAAATCCCGAGAGGTTGACAGGCGGCCTTATTTGGAGAGGAGGGAAGAGGGGAAGGAAAGGGTCGAGCCCATATGACCACGTTACTTTCTACAGCTTGAGGAAAACAAACTCTTCAATTGCTGGAACATCACCGATCCTCTTCAAGGATTCCTTGCTGGGCTGTTCATCGACACCAATGGCCATAACAGCCTGCTTTCGAGGAGCAATCCTTCCAACACTCATGAAGCTCACATTAACATTTTCTTCTCCGAGAATGCTTCCAACCGTTCCAATCATACCTGGCTGGTCAACCTGCCTACAGAGTATGATGCTACCCTCCAAACTAACATCGACTTCGAAAGACCCGACCTTTGTGAGGTGAGGGATTCCATCTTTCACAAGTCCTTCCACTGTTATCTCCCCAGAATCCGATATAGCACTGGCAAATTTGGATTCCACGTTGGCAATCTGGACCTGTATGTATTCTAATGGTTTCTCAGGCGACCCGTCCAGAATGACTCGCTCCTCGGATATCCTTAGTCCTCTCTGTTTGGCGGTGAAGTCAGCATTCACCAAGTTCACGAAAACACTGGAAATCGGTTCTATGAGACCTTTGGTTATCATGGCACGAAGAAGCCTGGTGTCAAGATCATCAGGAGCTCTAGAGGAAGCGTATGTTACTTTCACAGTTTTCACACCGCTTCCTCCTGCTACCAATTGGACAGCCAGTCTTCCCAATTTCTCAGCAAGTTCAACAAATGGTTTCAGCTCCGTTAACACCTGTAGGGGAGAAACGATACTTTGTTAGAACCCTTACATACCAAAAACTTGAGAATTAGTTCATTGAAAATAGAATGCACAATGAATAATTACAAGTCACATCTATCACTCAGCAAACCTTGATGATGTACGGCAAAGTAATGAATTGGAGAAGAAAAAAAAAGTCATCCATTTATAGAGAGGCACTACACTATAATCACTGGAAGTAAGGTTTTGGTAGCATTCAGAACCATCTATATTAAACAGGTTCTGAAAATCATCACAAGACCAAAATTTTAACAGAACCATCTATCACTCTAACTGTTGGAGGACTACAATTTAGATTCTTTCTTTTTTTTTCTTTTTTTTTCATAGGACTACATTCAGCTTTATAAAAATGGGGATAAATGTCAAGGCTTCTAGATGAAAATCATTAAAAAGAAGAATCTTACTCTGTTGCATAGCATAATGAATCAGAAAACCTAGAGACATACCCACTTGGGAATGCAAGAAAATCAATAAAACAAATAACGACAAATAGTAAAGAGGTCGACAAGAACAGAACTAGAAGGAAGTACTTCAGATAGATGTTTAAGTGATCATGAAATACGAAACATGAGAGTGATGGAAGATTCGAAACTACGGGATTCTACCTCTGCAGGAACCATCGGAGCATTGACAGCAGTAGCCGCAAGCTCCCCTTTCAAGGCTCCAACAACAGCTTCAGCTATTTCAACAGCAACTCCTTCCTGCATGTACCAGATGCAAAGATAATTATAAATTACAATAAGGAAAGCACAAGCTTTAAGTCCTTCGATTTAAAACACACCTGAGCCTCCATTGTGCTGGCACCCAGATGAGGAGTTACAGTGACATTCTCATGCTGAATCAACTTGCTATCTTTAGGAGGTGGTTCCTCAGTGAAAACATCAAGTGCAGCCTATCAGAAAAAGAAACGTGATACAATCATTGCGTTTAATGATAATTAGAAACTTCAAGTTTGGGTAGCAGGAATGAAAAGAACCAACCTGAGCAACAATTCCAGCATCTAGCGCCCTTACAAGAGCTTCTTCATCAATTACGCCTCCGCGGGCAACATTCACAATCCTTACTCCTTTCTTCATCTTTGCAAAATTCTCATCATTAAGGATCTTTGACGTGGCTGGAGTTAAAGGCATATGCAAAGAGATGAAATCAGCAGTTCCAATGGCTTCGTCAAAGCTCACAAGCTCTACGCCTATCGCACGAGCACGATCAGCTGGGGCATATGGGTCGTGTGCAATTACATGCATGCCAAGTCCCTTTGCACGCCGAGCAACTTCAGTTCCAACTTTGCCGAATCCCATTACAGCCAGTGTTTTCCCCACAAGCGATACACCGACATATTTGTTGCGTTGCCACTTTCCTGCGGTGGAGAAGAAAATGTAAAAATCATGAGTAGTTCGTTTCAACAAAGGCATATCATATAGAACATCACACCCAATAAATCTGACCATCAAAAACCTCGACGGGCTCCAAAAGGGAAAGAGAACATCCGATGCAGAGAGATTATTTATTCTTTGCTATTTTTACTTCAAATCGTAAATCCCAACCTAAGTAAGCATAAGATATGAATTTTCTACATAAAAATCCCCGACAGGTTTCCACTTTTTACAGCGCGCATCGATGCTTACAAGAAAGAAACGTACGGGGAATTTTTTTTGGGGCAATTCGCTTTAGACATTAAAATAATTCTTTTCAGACAGATTTAAATGAAATGCTCGTCCAATTTAAGATAAAAGGCCGAGATCTTTCCGAAGTTTTTCCACTTTCCATGGTTTCGAGCAGATCCAAAGCAAACCACAGGCTAAAAGACACCACGATAAGACAAGCTGATCGTGACAGACAAACCAAAAAATAAACGTACCAGCTTTAACAGACGCATCGGCTTGAGCAACATTTCTGGCCATTGCAGTCAAAAGCGCAATTCCGTGCTCAGCGGCGGCTACCGTGTTTGCAGTCGGAGCATTCACCACTAAGCAACCATGCTCAGTGGCCGCCGCCAGATCCACGTTGTCAATGCCAACACCAGCCCTCCCAACGACCTTCAACCTCCCTCCAGAGGATTCAAACACCTCACGGCTGACCTTAGTCCCACTCCGCACAATAATCGCATCACAGAGCGAGATCTTGGTGCAAAGCTCCTCAGGACTCAGATTATACGAGCAATCAACATTAGCAAAATCCTTGAGAAGATCAAGACCCGCTTCACCCAGCTTCTCCGCAACAAGAACCGTCGGCTTCGCATCCATAGACGCAGAAACCAACACCACAAACCGCGGCGCGCCAACACTCCGTCGACGAAGATCAACAGAAAAAGCCGAAGGAACAGGAATCTTAGAAGACAGAGAAGAAAGTACCGAGTTCCCAAGCGCCGGCCTACGGAGCGTAAACGAAGCGGAAGTAGCCATTTCTCGTCGGAATGAAAAAAACCACCGGCTGAGCAACGGAGGTCGGAGAGAGGACAAGGAAGATCTAGGGTTTAACAGGAAAGGTAAGAGGTTTAAGCTCAGTGAATGGAAACAGAGCGTCGGATATATGGTTGGCAGATGACGTGAAAAACACGCGCTTGTGATGAGAGTGGGGAAATGGGAAATGGAATTTGTTTGGTGGAGCTGCCTTAAACTGCAAGCAACTTGGATTATTTAACGCAAAATTAGTAATTAAAATAATTAAAATGAACGGTCGATAAATTCTTGGATTTACTTAAAAATAGGATAAAATGTTTGGTTCCTTTGAAGGATCCGCTTTGTTTCTTCTAAAAATATTATTAATTCAAAGTAATTTTAATTTAGCAATAATGATTAATTTATCCAATATTTTTTTATAAAAATAATTAAAGAAAACTTAATTTTTTTAGGAAAATTAAAAAAATTAATAGCCGCAAGTTTCATGTGATCTGGAATTATTTATTAGTGAGAAAGTATGTAACAAATTACTAACCTTCCATTTATATTTATTCGTATTAAGAAGTAAATAAACGGTATTATGACGTCATAAACCAACTTAAATAATGAAAGAAATTATATTTAGTTGTTTTTATAAGATTTTTGTGGTGAAATTAAAAATGTATTTAGTAAAAAGGAAGAAATGTGAAATGTCGGTTTTGTCCTTTTTGGTTTAAGGACATTTTTTTTTTCTCCACTTTTTATGTTGTCTTTATTAGATATAAAAAAAAATAAATACTTTTATAAAGTGGATATGAAGATCAAATGAAATGAAATTAGATTTAATCTGAAGTTTATTATATGGGTATTTTAAAGATTAGGGTTTAGGGTTTTTAAAAAGGAAGTAGGATTGGGCCATGAAGGTCATTGGGTTGAAAGTGTTGGACTTGGGAGTGGTACTCCTTTCAAAGGAGTGTTCACATAAGATCCCACCTAGTGTAGAGGGTTTACTATACTAGACAAATAGTGTATTCATCCTCTTTATAACAATGGTGTATGAGGGAGTGAGATCCCGCGTCGGTTGGAGAAGAGTACGAAATATTTCTTGTGTTATCTCCCTCTTTGTAACAACGGTGACGTGAGGATGTGAGATCCCACGTTAGTTGGAGAGAGAAACAAAACACTATTTATAAGGGTGTGAAACCTCTCTCTGTTACATCATAACGAGCCAAAGCGGACAATATTGCTAGTAGTGGGCTTGGGGCTGTTACAAATGGTATCAAAGTCAGTCACCGGGCGGTGTGCCCGAAGACGTTGGGTCCGTAAGAGGGGTGTATTGTGAGACTCCACATGGTGGGAGAGGAAAACAAAAAGTCTTTATAGGTGTGGAAGTCTCTCCATAGTAGACGAAATCTCTCCCTAGGAGACAGTGGAAATCTATCTGTAAACATGTTTATAAAGGGCCTTATAAGAGTGTGGAAGTCTCTTCCTAGTAGACATTGAAAATCGGGTGTAGAAGTCTCTCCCTAGTAAACACATTTAAAATTTCAAGGGTACGACCATTAAAACATAATATATATGATACTACTAATCAACGAATAAAATTAGAGGTATTTTTGAGTTGGGTCGGATTTAAACATTTTTTTTTAGACAAATCCAATTGTTCGGATTCCAACTTTTTCCACTTACAAAATAATGAATGGGAAAGTTGAAGAGGAAAAGATGGAGGCTGAGAAATAGAAGAAACTCCATGATCAAATCAATTAGCTCTAGGAAGAACAAACTTTTTCCAGAACTTGGACAGCCTCTCTCATGGTGGGTCTCTTTTGAGGCACAAAGCAAGCACACCTAAACCCTAATCTAAAAATCTCCATTACAGCCTCCTCTTTCCCTTCCAATTCCCCTCTAATAGTCGGATCCACCATCTTCTTCATCCGCCCCTCGTCTTCAACGCCGCCCTCCCTCTCCCTCACAATTTTCCCGCTCAGAAGCTCCACCAGAATCAACCCGAACGAGTACACGTCCCATTTAGGGCTCGGTTTCAGATTCTTCAGCGATTCCGGCGCCTGGTACGCCGATCCCATACTCACAGCGGGGCTTCCTCCGCCGCCGCCGCCGTCATGGTGATCGCGATTCGGCGTGGATCTGTGGCTGCCGAAGTTCCGGGATGAAGTGGAGGCGAAGGCGATCTTGGAACTGCGGGAGAGGAGCTTGTTGAGGCCGAGATCGGTGATTAAGGGCTCCATGTCGGCGTTTAACAGGATGTTGGAAGGCTTCAGGTTGCCATGGACGTGCTTCTTGTCGTGGATGAAAGCCATTCCTCTGGCGATTCCTCTGGCGATTTTCAGTCGGACTTCAAATGATAGATGGATCTGGGAAGAAGACGATGAACTCTGTTTTTCTGAATTAATAAATTCATTTCATTAATTTAGTATAGAAAGATCATGAGGAATTAATACAATTCAAAGTAAATATTGATAATTAAATAAGTACAAAATTAATTAGAATAATGAACTTACTGTGAATGGAGGTTGCAAGGCAGCCATTGGAGACGTAATCATAGATTATGAGCTTTTCATCTTCTCCCCAAAAGAACCCGCGAATTTTCACCAAATTTTGATGTCGAAGCTTAGCAATGGCTCTCATTTGCGCCTCGAAATCCCTCAATCTCTCAAAGTTGACGTCGCCGATCCTTCTGACGGCGAACGCCGTACCGTCCTCCAGCACCGCCTTGTACACGATGCTTCCGCCACTTGCTCCAAGTATATATGCTGACGCCTTTAACAATGTCTCCAATTCCATCTCCGTTTCTCCGTCCAATGTCACCAGCACGCCGTTTTTCTTACTGTCTCTGTTCACTCCGCCGTAGTTTGCTCCGGATTGCTCCCTCTGTTCTTCGCCGTCGGAAGAACTTGTCGCCTCCGATGTATCTTCTCCTTTGTTGGCCAAACAGAACAACACCGATGAAGGTTTTTTTTGGGTGTTATGGCGGTCTTGGTCTGAGCCAATCGGCGGCTTCTTCTCGGCGGATTTAGAGGTTTTGGAATTGGGACTTGTTTGTTTCCGGTGATGGTAGACGTAGAGAATCCCGATGGCCAGAATGGTGATTCCGGCAAGGTCTCCGACCGCGATTGCGGCTATTGTGATGGGTTTCATGGTGTTTTGCGGCTGAGAAGTTTGCGTCCCGTTTGGACCTCCGGGGGACTTTGTTGCTGGAATAGAGCCGATTGTTTTCGGTATGGCGGCGATTGCCGGAGAAGAAGATGAAATTTCAGAAACATTTGGGGGAATTGTTAGTGAGGAATGAATCGAACAGAGGTGCTTCAATGGCTTCCCACAGAGATCCTCATTTCCGGCGAACGCCTCTGTTTTCTGGCTGAGCAGAGCAGCCGACTGAGGAATCGCTCCGGTGAGATTGTTGAAAGAGAGATCCATCGTCGCATTCGCCGGAATCCACTTCGCGAACTCCGGTGGAACGGGACCTGAAATTTTATTGTAAGAGAAGTTCAAAGACCGTAGTTTTTCCCCACCGAAATCCGCCGGCAAAGACCCATTGAGCAAATTAGAAGACAAATCCAAAACCTCAACCCAACTGAAATTCCCAGGAATCTCTCCGACGAAATAATTACTCCTCAGAGAAACGACGGTGAGATTCTTCAGAGCAGTGAGATTTCCGGGCACTTTCCCGGCCAACGCATTATCAGACAGATTCAAAACCTGAAGACTCTTCAAACCCCCAATATCCGCCGGCAACTCCCCGGAGATTACATTGTTCGAAAGAGAAAGAATCTGAAGCTCCGAAGCATTGAAAATGGAAACCGGGAGAGACCCATTAAAGAAATTACCGGAAAGATCAAGAAGACGAAGGTGTTCGATCCTTCCCAGCTCATCAGGAATGGAACCCAGAAGCTGGCTGCCAGGGAGTGAGACGGCAGTGACTCTGAGCAAATCCGGCCATCCGCCGCCATAGCCACGGAGGTCGGTGCAGGTGACTCCACGCCAGGAACAGGGTGTGGCATCATAAACATTCCAATTAGCGAAAACGGACAAGGGATCGCCGAGAATGGAGCGTTTGAGAGACAACAAGAGGGCGCCATCGCTGTTAAGAGCAAAAGAGGGAAAATGAAGGAGAGGGAAAAAGAAAGTGAAGCTCCAAAACAGAGCCTTGTTAGTGGCATCGAAGAAGTTCCATGAATTCCTGTTCTGCAACAGATCTTGCATCATCTTTCTGGGTTCTATAACAAAATCATTTCCATCAGAAGGAAGAAGGAGATGGGAAGCAGAAAGAGACCCACTGAACTTAACTCCCTGGCTTTACCAAATCTGTAGACAGAGACAGACAGAGACAGTGGAGGAATCTTGAAAATGGGGTCAGCCAAGGAAAGTGTATTCAGGATGTGAAGAACAGTCTCTTGAAAAACAGAGGGAGAATGAGAGCAGCACAGTGACTAGCTTATCTAAAGTCCCAACGTACTAAAGTAGCGAAATTCCTCGTTCCTAAGTTCCAATCTGCACGAAAAGCACAACATCTTAAGCATTGTCTTAAAGAGAGGCTTCGTAAAATCACCATCCAATTCTTAACAAGAAGGAATTCGAACCTCCGACCTTTTTACTAATTGCGAACAATACATCAATTCTATTCATAACATTACCATCTACATCAGTGTATCCTATGGTCACAAAAATACTTCAAATCAATTTATGAATTTATGAATGCTTGATAAGTTATGGGCACTCTCAAAGATGTGAACAGACTCCATTGGGCATTGGGAGATGGGAAGTTTGTAATATTATTATATGTAAACATGAAGACCAAAAAAGAAATAAAGGGAAGGCATAAAATAAAGTGATAGTGGGAATTCCTAGACAAACTTGATCACACCCACAAAACAATGTCCCAATTTTGATACCTTTTTGGTACAGTTTCAAAGGTATTCAGACAAAATCTTTTTCTTAAATAATATATATTTCCTCACAATTTCTCATACAAAGCTTTTTATGTAGGGATATGGTCAAATTCATATAAAGGGTGTGTGGAAAAGATCTAAAAGTTATTCCTTTATGTTCTTTTGTGTGAGAGGTATCACAATGCTTCTTCGATCATCATAAATAAATAGCCGTTACATGATATTAACTATTTGAGGCATAAGTCTTCTTTACTTAAAAGTTTTTGTACTAATAAAAATAATCATCATTTTCTCTACTATTAATTATAGAAACACGAGTCAATTCAAACATAGTTCAGTGGATAAGACACTCATTAAAATTTTAAAAGTTGGAGATTCAAATCTCACTCACAAATTCAAACATTGAAACTTTGGCATTTTCATTGATATCAAAATTTATTCCTTAGCTAAAAGTTAATCATTTTTTTTTTCAATAAGTACATCGTCTTGATATCCAAAAATGTGTTTAAACATACTCGCAAAATCTAATGAACACTAGCCATTCAAATGCAAAAAAGTTCTTATCCAAAACAAATTCAAGAAAATATGGACATTGAAAAGATGTTACATATACGTACGTACATATATATATATATATATACACACATACATACGCATAAATACATATATATAGGAAAGAAGGTATTAGCCAAGGTCCACCCCACCACCAAACACTTGATTCCCACATTGCATTGCCAAAGTTTCCATGGCAAGATCTTCTCTTTCTCAACAAATATGTTCATACTATTTTACATACAAATTATGATTATAAAAAAACACCTTCTTAAGATTTATTAAAAATGTAAGGACTAAACTAAAACATTTAAGATTTATTAAAAATGTAAGGACTAAACTAAAACATTTAAAAGTGACGGGACTAAAATGAAATGAGGTTTAAAGGACAAGGACCAAAAAGATAATTTAAGTTAAGACAATTTCTACTTCAAATAGTATCGGTAAACCTAACAGTAATTTTTTTTTTTTTCAATTCCACAACAAATCAATTTTCATTCACATTCGGACAATCAAAAGCAAGCATGGATTGTATAAGTTTATTTAAGAATTTGATATTAGAATAGAGGGTGATTTGAAAGCGATTAAAATAATCTCAGTAACTGAATATAAATGGAAACCTGTTCTCCAGCAAGTAATTGGTCTCCCTAATAGACGCATGCATGCATCCTCTTTGTCTTCAGCTTTCGTCCTTTGGATCTAAAAAGAGTTTGAACAAAACATGAACAATGATCCCTATCCCTGCTACAAACAATCAGCTTCAAATTCACTTTTCTCCAACAATCTTATTCCCTTCATGAATTAGCCTGCACAAAGCTTCCTATAAGGAAATCCCAATTGGTGTTATCTAAGAGCCCATTTTGTAATGACTTTCTAAGTGCACAAAAACACTTTCTAGATCCATAATCTGGAGTGGGAAGACCTAAGTTTGTAGTGTAAGAATTAAAAGTGCTTGGATTGTACAAATGAATGAGTTTCAAAAGTCTCCACACGACATCTGTACTAGATTTATGAGCTTGAGATCTGTCTTAAAAGTAGGCTTTCAAGAATCTAAACTTACGTAACTTGTAAGATTAACAATGACATAACATTGTTCTAATTTAATAAGCCAATCTAAAAAACCAACACCCCCATAAGGTAATAAATGCTCTATCCATTTGGCCTTTGTCTCCTTTTTTGCTTCCTATGGTTCGGCACAAACCATGTGCTGGTACTAGTAACTTTGCAGATACATACATACATATATATATATATATAGTCATATATATATATATATAGTCATAGCTAAGATGCACTTGAGAATTTTATAAAGAACCGTAAGTGATTTGGACAGCTTAAATAAATATATAGCAAAACCCCATACAAACCAGGGGACAAAAACACATGTGCTTTGGTGCAGATGTGTCCCAGTAACAATAATTTCTCTATTCCATGCGAGTCTTTGATAGTTTTTTTTTTACTCTCCTAGATGTTTGCCATTTTACCTTAAAAGTGAGGTTCAGAAACTTACATCTGCTTTACATGAGATGGATCATTTTCTCTGTCATTACACCTGACAAGCAAAGTAACTAATCAGCCTAAGCAACATATTAAGATTGAAAAGAAGAAGAAAAATCACTTTTGTCTTCGTTCTTCTCATTTTCATGACAACCCTGGATAAAAACATTCTATTAGAACAGGCTTCAAGCTAAGCTAGTATTTGCAGAGAAGAATATGATAAAATCCGAAGTAAACCAAAAAAACAAATCTTATCACAAAAATCTTTGTGAAAAACTAAATTGCAAAAGTTGAAGAAAGCTTCTAACCTATGCAAATTTCTTTTCATTTAGTTCAAATAACAAAGGATAATTGCCAAAATCAAAATTACAGAACCCAGAGTGTGAAACCGAAGTAGCCAAGCAAAATCAAACAATATTGATTTCAGTTTTCACCCGAAGTCAAAGTCGGAATAGATCTATGTTAAACTATATACCACAACTTTCTAAGAGATCTAGAATTCTGAAGTACATCGCTTTTAAAAGCAATCTCAATGCCTCTGATCAAAATCTTCAGATATACTGATCATCCTGTTGAAAAAGCCAGCCAACCTGCCCCTGCATACTTCAAAGTAGCAACAAGTAAAACCAAAGAAAGTCAGATAAAAGATGAAAATTTGAAATATAATATATTAATCGGCTGTTAAGTCAGTTAAAAAGTGGAAAACTAAGCGATCAGAATTTTGTGAAATCTTATGAGATGTTAATATGTAGAACATAAAAAATTAAGTAGTAAACTTTCACAAGCTACCAGAAGTTATTCACAAATTTCAAGATCTAACAATCCTTCATCAAGAGTAGGTGACATTTAGATTACAACAGAAAGAAATGAACTGATGATTTAAGGAAAGAAAAAACAAAAAGTGAACAAATAACAAGACATTACAATATCAGTACATAATAATCAATATGTTGATCTGAAATAATATTTACAGTTCACGTCAGAATACAAAAATGGACTTAAACATTATGAAAAATGTAATCCAGCTCACTTCTTGTGAAGTTACTCATCATCGAGTTAGGTACTATGCCTATTGCATCTTCTTCTCCTTATTTAAGGGTAATGGTAACTTCCTTAGAACATTCTCGTTAAGCATCCTGTATTGCATCTGTACGTATCTATGTGCTACACATAACTTTTCATTGATGTGATCCTGATACTTATCATACACTAAAGGAGCGGAAAGACTGAGAAGGATACCTGCAAAAATATATTGATAAAATGCATAAACTGTTTCAGAAAACAACAGCTATCATACTTGAACTGCTGATTACAAAGAAATGAGTGCCCCACAAAACTCACCAATATAAACCAGTGTAAGAAAATTGAAGAAACTGCCAATGAATGACACAATCCACAGTCCAAGAGCAACCTGAGATCATGATTTAATTAACTCACAAGTCCCAGTTATTACAGACAAAGACACAAGTGATGATCCCTAACCTGAAGAAAGAGCTTAAAGTTTCTGCCTATTGCAATATCACGTGCAATTGACAGTACAAAATTGACCCACAGTCGCAGTTCATCAGCAACCACTGAAACAGTTTCCTCAGAAATTTCCAGATCAGGAAGCGGAGGTAGAGGTCTGAATCACAAAGGAAGGTAACTTTAACTCTACGTCGATTTCAATTCATACATTGAGAATGTGAATATTTGATCAGAACTAACCGAAATCAAGTCAATCTAAGTAATATTATCTCGAAAAATCCACATACTTACTTTTCTAACAACAAATTAGAAATATGGTATTCTCTTCAAATTCAAAAAATCCCAAGTTTGTATTGAAATATTTATTTGAAATCCTGAGAATTACCATCTAAACAAGCTATGCTCAGGTTGGTACGATGAAATGGTTCCTCTCTTACAATGTATATTATTTACTTTTGATTCATCATCAACCATAAACTCTCCACAGACTTCGACCCAAGAAATGTTAAACACTGAAAGCTGGAAGAAGGGGAATCAAAGTACCTATTGAGAAGGGAAGCAGATTTGGCCCAGAAAAAAATAATGAGGACAAGAAGCAATAGAACATTGGCGACAAAAGATAAGAAGTTGTAACCGGCTCTTTCAAACAGGTACCAGAAAGAAGTTGCAGACGTGAGCGTCACCACCCCACCATACCATTTATTCCATAACAGCAAATCAGCCACTATCATCAATAACTAGATTAGCAAACCAGCCATATCCTCAATAGAATACAACAAGATCAGCAAATTCAAAAAAAAAAAAAGAAGATCGTAACATTTCTCAAAGAATCAACCCAGTGAAACATATAATCCAGGTACAAATTGCAATCAAATGCCATTAGACCAAAACAATTCCCTTCCGAAACATCAAAGAATTAAGCCCAGATCAAGGAGGGAATACTAAATCATCAATGTAGGCACCAATTCGAAAATCAAGATCGCAAAACACGGCAGAACAGAGACAGAAAGTACCTTGACCACCGCCGAGCGCTTGATGGACAGAAATGCGACGAGAAGGATTAGGTCCTACCATGGACATGGTTAGGGCTTGAGAGAAAATAGAAAACGAAATTGAAAGCAGAGAAAAGGATGAAGATTGCAGAACTGAAACAAAGAATTCTCCGCCAAAATTTTCATCAAACATTAAAAACTTTATTTATTTATTTTATTCCTCAACTAATTTTTCTTTTGGGCTGGGCTCTTCCCAAATTTTTTCGTTAATAACTTTTCATAAATAATTATTTTATTCAAATAAAAAAATAATAATTTACCGTCAAATTTTTTTTATATTACTTAATAATATAACTAATTTAATTATTAAATATTTAATAAAATAATGTAATAATAAATAAATAAATTTTATTGAAGATTTAACCTTCCATTCTAAAAAAAAATAAAGGTATAGTAGTCATAATTAACATTTATCTTCTCGTTAATAACATAAAAAAAATTTTTTTTTATAAAGTAATTGGTCACGTCCCCGTCTAAATTATGGAGATTTTTTTTTCACTACACTTGCTTCCTTCGTTATAAACGAAAATATTTATTTTATTAGAGGTGGTCCGGACAAATGAACATCTCTTTTATCCTTATATATATAGAGAACAAGTTTAGATAGAAAATTTCTCAAATTTTAAATTTTGAATTCAAGGCCGCTGACTCATGGTTTGTGCAAAATTCAATATAATGATGTACATTTTATTTATGATAATAAAAAAAATAAAAAATAAATATTTTTTGAGAAAATAATTGAAAAAAAATAATTTTATATCTCAAATTTTTAACTTAATAAATTTAAATTGTTATTGTAATTTGTAAATTTTGATAAAATTATTCCATGGTTAATAGGTACTAATCTAACCTAAATGGTTATTAAAATTAATTTTTTAAAAATAGTTATAAAAAATGAAAAAAAAAGAAGAAGCTATATTTATAAAATAATAGCTTTTAAATATTTTTTATAATAAAAAATATAGCCATTAAAATAATAAAAAAAGTATATAAGAAATTGGTTTAAAATTGAAAATAATAACGATTAAATAATTCATGATCCGAAAATTCTTATTCCCCACCTATTTCTTTTTTTCAAATACACCAAATTTATTTAAATTATATTCAATTTTATTTTGCATTTTTATGTTTTCTATTTTCATTTTTTGTTTATATTTTTATTTCTTTAATTTGGCAAATTTTAGAAAATAAATAAATTAATTAATATTTTTAAACTTTAAAAAATGTATTAATTAAAATTTCAAATTAATAAAATCAATTTAAATTCTCTACTAAAATTATATTTTAAATCGGTTAATGTGTTACTTTCCCGTTATGGGAAATTATGGTCACTTTATTCGAATATAACAAATTGTGTCATTAATTAAAATACTAAATAAATTAGAAATACTTAAATTAGAAATTCGCTATAAATATTTTGGGAATAAAAAAAGAAAAAAAAATGAAAATCAAATTCGTTTCCCACACGTAATGCACTCCAGCCTGGCATCCGTCAAAACTTATCCTTTCAAAATATCGCGATAAATTCCCTTGTCGCCGAGACATTCTCCCGCGTTTTTTTTTTTTTTTTTCCTTAAAAAACATTTAATTTTAGTTTGGATCTCCCAAGATCCACGCCCTTACGTGGCAGCCGCGTGGTAGTTATCTGCCGTACACAATGCAACCTGTAACTCAGCAGTGCCGGTTGATATGACTCCTGTTAACGAAGTCGGTTAACCGGTTCTATCAGTTACCCTAACCCTTAGGTTTATAAACCCTCCCCTCCTCTTTTCTTCCTCAATCCCTTAACCGCCTCGCTTGAGGCACCGCTCTCCTCCGCCGCACGCAACCGTCGTTTACAATTCTGTATCTATCTGTTTCTGTCGTTATTCATAACTCAACGGTTGATTTCACCGCTCTGATTTGGAAGAACCGAATCCGCGATGGGGTCTAGGAAGGGGAAAATCGATCGGGTCAAGGGCCCATGGAGCCCCGAGGAAGACGAGATGCTGCGAATGCTAGTGCAGAGCCAAGGCGCTCGGAACTGGTCCATTATCAGTCAATCGATTCACGGTCGGTCAGGAAAATCGTGCCGTCTGCGGTGGTTTAATCAGCTCTGTCCTGGTGTAGAGCGTCGCGCTTTCACTGCGGAGGAGGACGAGGTCATCACCGAAGCCCACGCCAAATACGGAAACAAGTGGGCGACGATCGCAAGGCTTCTCAATGGACGAACAGACAATGCGATTAAGAATCACTGGAATTCGACAT